GGAAGGCGGTTCTGACGGTGGGCGTGAGCGCAGCGTGCTGGATGGCTCTGGACCCCCGCCCTCGCACCCTGCGGACTGCCCACTCGCTGCTCCTGAGGCCAAGCTCTGCCTCAGCCTGGGAGTGGTGCCCTGGGGCTGGGCTGGAGCCTGTCCAGCACCTGCAGCCTCAGGCTCAGTTCCAGCCACATGCACACATGCACTCCGCGGAGCCTTTGCTGGCAGGGACTGTTTCAGAGCTGACCGTAAAGAATGATTATAGTGTTTTGGTTGAGGAAAAGTGTAGGGAAACATCTGTTTTGAAATTTTGTTGCATTTTTAGTTTGCTTAGTCAGCCCCATTTCAGTTTTGAGGCAGTAGCAGAGTTCCTTTGGGCATAGACTGGAGTCGACACTGACCACCTGGGGCTCATGCAGCACCTGGACACTCTTTGCTTCTGGAGTGATCGTCCGTCACAGTGATGGAGGCTGAAGGAGGGGTGGGCGCCGCACCAGGCTCGGGCTCTCGGGCACGGAGTCTCCAGGAGCCATGCGGGCCTGAGGAAGGGCTTGAGCCCGTTCCTGGTGGCAGCAGCACATGTGTGGCGTGTCCTTTTCAGGCTGTCCTCTGTCCTCTTTTTCTGTTAGACTCATCTGTACCCCATGGTCAGCAGAGCGAGTTCCTCTTGTTGGCATGTAGAGCTCTGAGTAGTGAAAGCACTGCAGGAGCCGTGCTGGACAGATGTGTGCTGCAGAGCTGCGTGGGTTATGGGAAAGGCAGTAGGTGAGCCCCGTGCTCTTGCCTTCCTGGCCCCTGAAAGGCCTCACTGTCCCAGAGCCCCTCCACACGCACTGCCCTTGTGGTCACCTTGCCCCCTGGTGGGGCCTGCAGGTTTTGGGGGCTCATGTGTGTCCTGAGATGTCTCGGACTCCTGAGGCCTCGCCCTTGGCCAGCACAGTGTGGTAAGTGGAAAGGAAGGGGAGACGGAGGCAGGAAGTATGTTCTGGGCCCAGGCTCACCATCACTGGCCGGGTAACCCTGGGAACCTCTGAAGCCAGGTCTTCTCACTGCAGAGGGGCTGTGAGACTCTGCTGTGGTCATAGGTGCAACAGCCTTTGTGCAAGGCATGCTGCTGTGTAAACACAGGCTTTGTGGTGATACGGTAGGCACTGCCGCTGTGTTTTAGGAATGAATGATTTGCAGAGATGTTCTCCCAGGCCGCCTTTCAGTGGCTCCTTCTGCCACTGTGTTTTCGATTCCTGGAAAGGACATGTGGATGGCTTCCCTAATCTACATTCCATGCTCTGAAATGGCATTCTGGATGGCTTGTGAGTAATTAGTTTAAAAGAAGAAAAAAAGAAAAAAGCGGAGTATCTTGATGCGGTGGGGCTTTTAGGAAGACGCGTATTGACTCTAATTAAGCAAAGGAACGTGCTTGTCTTGACCAGAAGCCTCCTCCTGGTGCGTCGGATGCAGTGCAGAGAGCCTGAAGCCCTGAGTTGACATTGATTGTTTGAGCATCCCTGAAGTTTATAGTAAATGCATTTACGATTCTGGGCTATTCCTGGAACTGAGGCTGTAGTTGGATGTGACTTACTCTGTGTGACGGGAGCGGCATATAGAAAAGCCGCAGTTCTGACTTGCTGACAAGAGAAAGTAGCAGATTTTCATAGTTCTCATATGTCATCCTGGCTGCAGGCCATCAGCTTTCCAGTATCCTCATACTTTATCAGAATCGGGGTCCTGGGTCTCGGAAGCAACGGGGTCTTGGGAGCCGCACATCCAGCCACCGCTGTGGCTGTGTAGGGGTGAACCCTTGTGGCGCTGCGGCTGAGAAAGACACGAGCCCGGTTCCTCAGCTGGGCGCTAGGCCTTCTTGGGGTCTGTGCCCCGAAGAGCAGGCCCAGCTGGGTCCGCTGGCACATAGTGCCCGCACAGCGTGTATTGGGGGCCACATGTGACTGGGCTGTTACGCGGTGGTTCTCTCAGGCTCGGGAGCAGGCGCTCGGATGAGGTCAGTCTCCTGGGTGGATGTCAGCAGGAAGGCACTAAGAAGCCAGAGAGACAGTGTATTGGTGACCGTGTGGAGCAGTTGTTTTTCCTTGGAATCAGGAGCCATGCGTGTGACTCCAGCATGCACGCTGGCTGTGCTGATGGCTTTTATGAGCCCGTGTGAGAGTTGAGTGTGGGTGGCTGGCTCTGTGCGTGGGATGCTGGCGATGTCTGGTGTTGATCGGCCCCTGTCCTTGTCTAGAACTCGTCCCGTCACACTGTAGTCAGCTTCCTAGAAATTGTGCTCAGGACTGGGTGCTTCCCAAGTGCCAACTCCTGGGCATTTTCTGTACATTAACTCTTTTAACTCTTGAGAGCCTGTGTCTTCCCACATAGGGAACCCTGATGCTTAGGGGTGTTAACTAACTTGCCCGGGATTTGATGGCTGATGGCGGGGAAGCCCAGACCAAAGGACTCTCCTGCTCCACTGGGGTGTCTGAGCGTTGGGGAGCCTCTCACAGACGTGCAGCCAAGCTCTGCTCAGAACCCCTCCTGAGTCGCCTCACCTTCCTGCTTTCTTCCACCTTCTGTTTGTCCTCTTGCTCCTGCATGCAGCTTTGCAGCCACGTCCGTCCTCCAACAAGGTCTGTCTGTGGCTTCAGAGCTGACCGCCTCGCATCCGCAGCTGCTTTTGAAAAAGGCACTGTGCGTGAGGTCTGGAGGACTTTTGAAAGCTCTTTGTGAGCCCTGCACCAACTTTTTGGAGGGGCATTTTCTCTATGGTGAATGAGAGGGGAAATGCAGGCGCAGGACAAAATGAGCGGCTCAGGGCCATGCCTGCCGGGTGTCTGTCAAGCCTGTGACAGGCAGCGTGTGTGACAGTGATGCTTCCTGGTCACCCGCCTCCCTAGTGGCCCCTCACTGCTCTTCTGCACAGGCATCTGTGTGATCGAGGTGTAGGCCATGCGAGAGAAGTGAGGGTTCCCAGCTCCTGGAGCCATTTTAGTTTCCCCTGCACAAACCTGACACGTTGCTCGGCCAGCAGCATACTGAGGGGGTCCCGTTTGTGGACACTACAGTGGCCTGTTTTTATTTCTCTCTCTCAGTATTCGAAATGTAATTGCTGTTCCCCTGCACAGATACTACCAGTATTTCAAAAGATGGCCTTGAAAATTCAGAAGAGTTTCGTGTCTTCGAGACTGCTGCATCTTGGAAGATGTTTGTGATACCCGTGTGTCACAGCTTGGCTTTGCTCCCTCCCAGACCCGCTTTGCTTTTGTGACGTTTTCTCATTGAGAAAATGTCGGACGTACTTGTCTCTTGCATAAGAATGAGATAAAGAAATTTGAGAATCTACAAATTTTTTTAACAGTATAAAGCAACATCTTTGAAACTGAGCCACTGAAAGACTTTTCCTTTCAGATCCTTGACCATTTTATAAGGTGAAGAATTCAGTGCTTTTATCAGAGCTTTTGATTACTCTTTTTTATTCTAGTGAATTGTACTTTTAAAGGATAGTTTGTGATTCTAACTGGTCTGTGTTTCTAGCATTGAGGATTTTCTTTTTCTGTCTTGTGACTAGAAGTAGGAATTGATTTGCTGGTTAGACTGCCATTACTCCTTTTCTACCTGGAGCAGGACTAGGGAGATGGTTCCCTGTCCAGGCACAGAGAAACCCGACAGCCCCTCCCTGTACCGGGCTCTGCCTCTGCAGACCCTTCTGAGGACAACGTCCTCACCCCCAGGTGTCTGCCCTGTCCTCCCGAACCCAGGCGAGATCATGCTCCCCAGCCCATCGAATGCTGTCTTCTTCCTGGTGTTCTTGGCTCTTTTGACTCCTGCTGTGCCTCCCCGACTGCACTGTTCCTGCACGCTGGGCTCCGCTCGGGCAGGGACCTCTGCTCTTTTTCTTTGTGGTGCTCACCATAGCTAGCTCAGGTCTGACATGGACAGCTGCTCAGAAGGGCTGGTTGCATGGAAGACTCTCCTAGTGAGGTATTAGAAGCCAGCTTCAGAGCCAAAGCAAGGCATTAGCATTGAGTAAATGTCAAAACTGCTGTTTTGCTATAAAGCAGGGTGTATTTATATAATTAAAATGGTTGATTAATTTTTTAAAAGCTGAAGATGTAATGTTCTGTGAATCTTGTTAAAAATTGCTCGTATAAAAATAACCAAATCAAAGTTATCCCATCCAAATTCATATTTGTACCTCCTGCCCGGCCCACCATCCTTCCTTTTGCTGAAGAAGGGTCACCCACCACAGAAGGCCTTCCCGGAGCAGAGCAGCCCTCCACAGGGTGGACACAGAAGTCCGCCTTGGCAGCCTCACCCCCGCTGCCAGGCTGAGCTGGTGCTTCCCTGGGCCGCCACCCCCTGCCTGCACGGCCAGCTCCGAGGGACCCTGGCCTTATCCTGCCTCTGCCCCTCTGCTGCCACAGGATGCCTACCATGCACTTCCTAAAACTGGATTCTGGTCACATTTGTTGAGTGATTTGGCAGGACAAAAAATAGGGACAATAATTAGTATTAACTTGGGAACCAGTTTCAGACCACTCAGTGAGGTTGGAAGGGCTTTCTTTGTAGAAATAGTTTGTATGTTAAAGAGCTTCCGAGAAGCAAGGGAAAAATCATTAAATGACAGAGTGGGGGTGTGTGCGTGTGGAGACTGGGTTGAGGGAAGATCATTCTGAAGGAGACAGGAATAGGGAATACAGGTGAGGTCCGGGAGCCCTGCCAGCCCCCGCAGCGTGAGGAGAGGTGAGAAGTCCTGGGTGCCCCGTGGCAGGAAGCAGGAGTCTGGCTCCCAGTCTCAGAGCAATAAAACGAAATGTTTGTTTGACATTCACTCCTGAAGATGAAGATGTCTCTCTGTCCTCCTGGTGCCCTTCTCAGCTGTTTTTGTTTGTTTACACTTCTTCCTCCCAGAGGCCTTTCTTTTCTGTTGAGATTTGGGTTCTTTCCTTAATGAAATGCTGTCTTATTTTCAGACCCAGTTACCTTTGAGCTGATTTATTTCTTGTTTTTATCTTCAGCTCAGCTCTGAATGGGCTTTGGAAACTAGAGGAGAAAATCCAGTTTACTTTTTGGGGGACGTTGGACAGCCGAATAAATGCAGGTATGTAGATTTGCATCTTTTTTTAAAAAAGGAAAATACCTAGCTTTTAAAAGAATAATAGAACTGTGATGCTAAACTGGTGGGGCCATCTGTGCTGTCACCTTTAATTTTTAAAAATCAGTATTGTATTCATTTCCGATATTACATATGCTGGTTTGAAGACAAATCTCAAGAGTGCAAAAGTGTGGTAAGTACAGCGTGAAAACTAAAGTCTCCTTATGATCCCTGCTAGATTAGCGTCAGCAGTGTCCTGCGTGTTCTTGCAGACCTGAGTGTGGATACGCATCTCCCAAGGGCCATGCGCTACCCATTGCGCTGTACTTCGCTGTGCCGAGTGCTGGGTGCTCTTGCAGTGTGGACCCATGCAGCTCTGTGTTCCCCTTTAACCACTGTGGACGTGCCCTGTTAGAAGGCCGCTCCTGCTGGACCTTGCCCACTGCATGATTTTCCATTGCTAGTGGTGCTGCACCTCGTAGGTGTGCGAGTGCCTGGCTGCGCAGTTCCCAGGCTGGGTGTAAGCTGCCTTTGGAGCCCCACTCTGTGGTGTCCGTAGTGTCCAGGGCAGAGGCACCTTGATTACAAAGCAGGTGGCAGCTACTGTTTTCCTTCTCTGCTTTGCAGTGTGGGTACAGGTGAGATCTCCGTGCCTCCTGTTTTAAATCAGTATTGCCTGTGGAGCTAAACTTCCAGGTACCGTAGAGCTTAGTCTTTTAGCCCACTTTCCCGAAGAGTCTGGCTTTCAGGGTTACTGGAGATTAAGCCATTAAAATGGAACAGCTCCCATTTGTAGGCGCCAGGCCTGTGTGGCTTGTGGTCATCCTTCACTGCTGTCTGCCCCACGTGATCTGCCCTGTGGGAGCCTCCCTCATGTAAACCTCTGTGCCTGGCACTCGGGACAGCAGGGAGTGAGTGAGCGGGCCTTGTCATGGGGACCCAGGGGTGTGTGTGAGGCCTGAGAGAGGTGATCGCCTTCCACAGTGGCTAGAGCGGGCCAGGGTTTGGGAGCACAGCGGGAGGTGTCCCTCCGGGATGGGGCTGCCTCCAGGCTGCGTTCTCAGGAAGCTTGAGGTTTGCCAGGAAAGGGGGCTGCAGGGCCGGGCAGGAGTGGGAGAGGCAGCCTCGGGGCAGAAGGGTGCTGGCTGAGCGGGCAGCACTGGCAGTGACAGGTGAAGTCAGGTGCAGGGCCTTGCTTACAGTTAGAAGCCTGCAGGTTAGTGGGGGCCAGGAGTATCTGACGTCACATTGAGGGGGAGTGAGGTTGGTTTGTTCCAGGGGAAGAAGACGGGAAAATTTGTCGGAGGCTGCAGGAGCGGGCGCGGGGAGGGAAGGGTGTGGGAGCTGTGCCTGGAGCCTGTCTCGGCGGAGCAGCAGCAGCCTATTCTGTCTGCTGCTGCCTCGCTGCACAGCTGCTCCTGTGTTCTGCTGCCTCGAGGGGCCACCTGGCCCCCTGCTTGCCTGTGGGCGAAGGGACCTGGCTCTGCGGGCCTTCCATGTGCTCTAGCGACAGTAGCCAGTGTCGCTCAGTGTGCATGAACAGCCGAGCAGCCGAGGTCCCTGTGCCCACTCACCTTGCTCTTCTCTAGACAGGAAGGTAGCAGACTGTGGTTTTTGCCCTCGGTCTGCTCAGAAGTCACCTTTCGACCACGGAGGCAGAGGTGGTAACTACTAATTCATCCTCTACCATTCAGAACAGCCCACATTTTTTATAGCCACAACTTACGTGCAAATAGATAAAATAAGTTCGGGTCAGCTGTAAGGTTATTCTGACTTCCAACTATGGTTAATGAATGAGCGTGCATAATTAATTCTTCCCATGTTCACCTCGTGTGATTTTCAGGCAGGGACGGGACAGAAGTGGTATTACTGTGCCCAGTAACCCCTGCTCGCCTCCCCAGTGCTTTCCTCTGCCCCGGCTCTCACTGCCCAGTGACCGCCTGTCTCCCTCTCTTCTCCCGCAGTATCTCAGTATAAAGGAGGACTGCAATGCCATGGCGTTCTGTGCTAAGATGAGGAGCTCCAAGAAGGCCGAGGTGAACCAGGTGGCGCCTGAGCCCGGGGTGGAGGTGACCTTCTACCTGCCGGACCGGGAGCCCCTCCGGCTGGGCGCGGGCGAGTACACGGCGGAGGAGCTGTGCATCCGGGCGGCGCAGGAGTGCTGTGAGTGCGGGGCCTGGGCTGGATGCTGGCTGACCCTCCTGAGCAAGATGCAGTGGGCCCCACATGGCAGCCTCTGCTTCCCTCCCGCCGGGGTGCCATCCAGGAGCCTTGTCTTCCAGTGTGAAGAGGCTGCTGCTGCTCCATCACTCCTGAGCTCTGAGCTGTGTGTGTGAGAGTGTGTGTGTGAGAGAAAGAGAGACAGGGAAGGAGGAAGAGAGAGAGGTGGGAGCAGTGTCGGCCTTGGCACGGCAGCCTGCAGACCACAGGCCCGCTGATCAGCCTGTGAGGTGGGACCCAGGCACCTGGCCAGACACAGTTCTTGCCGTTACTGCTCAGAGCTGGGACACGGGCAGCTTGTACCCGCCTCCTGTGAGATGACAGTCAAGCTGAACCATAGAGTTTAGGAACTTAGTCTCAGCTTGAACCTCATAGGACTGGTGGTGGTTGTACAGCTTAGTAGATGCTTCAGGGCTCCTTGGATTGTACACTTGGAACAGGCTTACTGTGTTATGTGAATTGTGTTTCAAGAAAACTGATGGTGATGAAGTCACGTGCTCACTCCTTCCCAAGCCGGCTGATGTTGGCCGTTGCAAGACTTGCGTGCCCACTGGTGACGCAGCTTGCCCAGAGCCCCTTCTCTTCCTGATGTGTGTCCTCCTGCCTCAGCTGCTCTTTTAGCCAAGGGGAAGCGTGTGCTCACCTACTGCGTGCTAACTGTGGCCTGGGGTGAAAGGGCTGAGTGTGGTGGAGACATGCAGTCCCATTTTTAAGTTATTTTCACAAGGCAGCAACATGTGCAGCAGCTTCAACCAACAGCTGTAACACACACGTTCCTGCCGGCTTGAACCTTGGTGGCACACACATGATCGTCCAGTTGGGTGACCTCTGGGACTGTCCTGTACCTCCCAGTGGGTCAGTCGTGCATGTACCGTTGGTGGTTCAGAGCTGCCCAGCAGTGAGACATGCAAATTGGTGGCCCAGCATAACGTGTTAAATGTGTTTGTGGTTAGCAGAACTGCTGCACGTGAATCCGTGCTCCCAGAGCATATTTAAGGCCTTTTGCTTATAGTGCCTGTTCCCATCTGAGGCCTCCTGCATTAGCACCCAGGCACTGACCTCACTTGAGTTGTTGGTAAGAACTGTGGGGCTTCCATTAGCAGGGCACTGAGGACCTACTGGGCACGGGGCCAGAACCTGTGGGCTGAGGCCAGACCCCCGTCCTGGATCCTGTGGCCCTGGGCTCGGGGTGTCCCTTGGGGTGTCAGTCCCCAGGCCTGGGCTCCAGAGGGTGAGTGGTGTCTCTTGTGTTGCTGGCTCAGGGAAACATTAAAAATGCACAGGTACTGAGTTCTGCAGATTTTTATACCACTTGCAGTGGTCACAGCAAGTCGTGTTTTGGTGCAGTGTGATTTTTCCTGCCTGTGGGGAGGCTCTTTTCTTTCAGTTCTCAGTCCTTTGTCCCCTTGGATCTCAGCCCTGCATGTTATTCCAGTAGCTGAGGGGCCTTGCCCGGACTGGCTGCCTCTCAGAAGGCTGTGAGATGGCAGAAATCACACCTACCCACTGAGTGTTGGGAGGGTTAAGAGAATAAATATAATGCTAACATGTGGCCCTCGGCAGCTGGTAGTGTTGTTGAAATTCAGTACTTTTCTCTCAAACGGTGTCTTTGATCTTCCTGTTGATGTGTAGTTATGGGTAGGCAAGAGTCAGACTCGTGGTAGACTTGCAGACAGTTCCATAGTTTCATATAAATTATGCTTCGCATAGGATGTGTGTATTCAAATATAGATGTGTATGCAGAAAGGCTAGGTATCAGGCCAGCCCACAAAAGCAAACTGAAACAGTCCTAGTAAAACGGGTCCAAAAACCATTGACCTTTGTTCCCAAGGGGAAGTGCTCTTTGAGGTGCAGCTCATCCTAGTTGAGGAGGAGCAGAGCTTCCACTTTTCCTGAGAGGCCTGACTAGAGGTGTCAGGACATTGCTTGGACATGCCAGGGCACCTGTAGCTTCCAGACCCGGGTCTGCCTTGGCGAGGGGGAGGAGGGAGGCACCTGTCAGCATCATTTCATTCTGGGGCCTGATACGGGAAACAAGTGCTAGTGACCTCATTGGCCCCCACATTTATGGTCATCTAAGTTTACTGTCTCAGTTTGAAGCCTGGCTGGACCTGGAAATGTGAGTGAGAATTGGCGGTTGGTGTTCATCCTCCACATGTCAGTCGAGATCACAGGTCTTGAACTTCAGTTGTGGGTACACAAGCGAGGGTTGCCCCCTTCTCTCCAGCCTTCCTGTCGTGCTTATTGTTGGGCAGGCAGCTTGGGGTGGGGAGCAAAGCATGGCCAGACCGGCTGGGTTAAACATACATCTTCTCGCTAGTTGGATAAAAATATTTATGGTAATGGTACAGAGCACTTAAGAAGTGCATTTATTATTAATGGCAATAGATTTTAATCACTGACAAAATCACTTTGGTTATTATTTATTCTAACACACATTTTCTGCACTACTGCCAGGAACTTCTTTGCATGTTTAATGCACACCCACAGTGCTAGAATTGTTTAAACATGTCTTGTAGGAAACAGTGAGGAGCTCCCAACCCCAAGAATATTTCAGCCTGTGATTAGTACAGTGCACACTGGTGGCGGGGTGTGTGAGCCCCTTACATGGCCTTTTGATCTTGTAAGCAGAATTTGGTAAGACTGTCATAGCCACCTGTAATAAGAAGCATCATCAGCTTTTCTTTCTAAACCACTCTAACGTGGTTTGCCAAGAACTACGTGTGTTTCCAGGGAATCGTGGTTCTTGATTAGTGTGATTAAAAGTGTCTGCCTGAACTTGGTTGGAAGTTGTGTCTGCCTTGCAGGATCCAAGCACCCTAGATTCCCTGTGGGTGAGAGCATTGTCTTTGCTCAGGGCAGGCTTGGAAACAGTGGCAGGGTAATGTGTCTCCCACAGTCTCTGACATGTCCCTCCCCCCAGGTATCTCTCCTCTGTGTCACAACCTCTTCGCCCTGTATGACGAGAACACCAAGCTCTGGTACGCACCCAACCGTGTCATCACCGTCGACGACAAGATGTCCCTGCGGCTCCACTACCGCATGAGGTACGGACCTGCCTGCTTCCCTCCTGTTTTTGTAGTTTGTAACTTCCGCATTTGCTTGGTCTGAGAAAGGACTTTCTGGAGTCCAGTTCAAGATGACTGTGGTCACCCTGCTCTGCCGTGGTTGGGGATGCAGACTGTTCGGAGTGGCGTGTATGTCGTCCAGCAGCGCTGTCCTGATGGTGGATTGTGGTTGAGTGTAGTGGGTTGTGGCCAGAACTGCAAAAGAAAGAGACAGGAAAGAGTAGATAACATCATCCCGTAGACGTATCCTGAGCACACTGGCTTTTAAAGCTTCCAAGGTATGTGATATATATGAGTGTACTAGGTCATGATAGAAAGCACACGTCTTACTAAAAGCTGTAGCTAAGAGGGACCAGGAGTACTGTCTAAAATGGTGCCTGAGGTTGACAGTGCTTTCAGGGAGTGGTGTTTGGATCAGGGAGTGACATCTAGGTGTAGGGCAGGGATGTAATTTTCTTCTGATGAGGGTGTGCTTTCTTCCTGTTGCAGACTTTGCTCATGTCAGTGTCTCCGAGCTCACTTGGACGGTTGGTGTTTCCGTAGCTGAGCCTCTTGCCTTTTACATAAGCGTGTCTGGCTGTCAGATAAACAGAGCAAGTTAGGAACTCGTTAGCACCGGTCATGGGTCCGCATGGAGCTTATGTAGGGGATGGGCCCTTGTGGGAAGGGTCTTAATTTACACGTGTGTGATTAAATCAGTACCTAGCTCAGATGCTAATAAGATGGGGGACAGGCTGGAAAGCCCTCTCGCGTCTTGGAGTTTTCCACAGTATCTTGGCTGTGCGTTCCCTTGGGAATTTGGTAGTGCTGCCGCTGGTCCCGAGCCCAGAGCATAGTGTGTTTTTCTGGAGGCTGATTGATGTACATGCTGCTTTCCTGGCCGTCCTAGCTTGGACTGTCCTCTTCATCTGAACTTAACCTACAGTCTCGCCTGAGGAGGAACGGCTTGTCTGGGGTGTGATTTCCCACCTCGGTCTGGGGAAATGTTTACCCTGCCTGGCTGAGTCTTCTGACTGTGTTTAGGTTTGTTTTTCAAGGTGTAATCTGCTTTCCCTGGCCTGGGCTTTTCTGTGTAGTAAGCACTAGGTGGGTCCTCACAGCAGAAGTCCAGACAGGGACGGGCTATGGAGTTCTAATTTTTCCCCTCTAGGTTTCTGAACTTAGCTCAAGAGTCCAGCAAGGTAGCATTTGGGACTTGGGAGAGACCTCAGCTTACCCCGTTCACCTCTTCCATTTTTCAGGTGGGGAAAGGGCTATGTGGATGGGAGAAGGGTCACCGCTAGGGATTTGTCTCTCTTGCGGTGTGGTCCTGTTGGAGCAGCTCTTCAGGGGTGTAGCAGTGCCTCGCTGTGTTTGCTCATTTCGTTTTCGGTAGCTGCCAGGAAGTGCACCTTGACTTTGTACCTGCCTGCCACAGGATGTTGCTTTGTTATCTCTGGCTCTTTGAACTTGGGAGAAGCCACCCTAAGCTAAAACATTTGCATCACAATAAACTTCAGGAACTTTGAAAGCTCCTAATCCACCACCTAAGAAGGCACAGTGTAAACATAAGTGTTGCTGATTATTTCAGTGGAATCCCAGCTCTATTTGGGGCAATCTTCTCTTCTTTTTTTTTTTTTTATTTAAAAAGAACACACAAAAAAAACACACAAAAAACACACAAAAAGAACGCACAAAAAACCAAAAAACGAAATTCCAAAACAATATGATAGGAGGGGAACAGTGGTAAATACATTGTTATCTTTAAATTAGTTACTCAGAGTACAGCATATCAGCCTTCAATTGTCCAAACAATATTAGCACAAACCTCTCTCTTCAGTGATCTAAGAGAAATTAGTAGTATAACTGTTTTCTTTTATATATATATACACACACACACACACACACATATATGTAAATACACATATATGTATATATTCCCTTTTGCTCTTCTCTTTCTTCTTTTTTTGGGGAAATATCCTGGAACTTAACTGTGGTTTCCAATTTTTACATAAAGATTTAGTAATTACTGTTTTATAGGTCAGTGTAAGACTATCATATTCTTTATTCCTTTAGAAAGAAAAAATCCTGCTTTTTCATTCAAGTGCGTTTCATTGTCCAGTAGTAGAATCGTGTGTAAGTACAGGGAGTTCACTGTATAGAGCGTTCACATATGAACTCCGAACTTGCAGTCGGCTCTTAGGACAGTGGCTCTGACTGGCGCTTGTGCTTCCTGCTCCTTCGAGCTGCCCTGGAAGGGGTGTGGGCAGGGGTCATACTGCCTTTGTCACACTTTTCTCCTGGTATGTTATTCTATCAGCAATTTGTATGCACGAAGTTTGATGAACACATTGGTATTTTAATTTATATTCCTCTGTAAACTGACAGTTCTGGCTGTGTATAATTATATGTATTTATAGGGTACAAAGTGATGTTGTGATTTTTGCATATAATTGGAATAATTAAGCTAATTAATGCTTCCTCACCTCAAATACTTAGTTTTTGTGGTGAGCACATTTAAAATTTACTCTTAGCCGTTTTGAAATGTGCAATACACCCTCTTAACCATATTTACCACACTATGCGCGTCTTTTCTAAAGAAACTCTTATTCATACTAACTGATATTTTGAACTCCTTTGACCTTGTCAATGATTAATTTTAAAAAGAAGTATAGAGTTTTCCAGTTTTGGTGGCAGTTATGTTTGGGATACATACTAAATGCATCCATCATGGGGTACTGGTACACACACACACACACACACACACACACACACGGCATTGTGACCCCTCTACCTCCCTGCCCCTGCCCCCGTTGGCTTCCCCCCTCTTGTGCACCATCACCCTCCACTGTAGCGGAGCCACTGTCCCCACCGTACAATGCCCCAACCTCCCCGTCTCGGAGCCTCTGGCCGTGGACTTCCCAGCCTGAGATAGCCCTGCAGGGCTCTGTCAGTCTCTGGGGAGCCCATGGAGAGAAGGGCTGTGGGGTGGACTGGTGCAGGGGCACCGGCCTTTACTGTGTGTGCCTCTGCCCCCTCCAACCCCAAAAGCCTTTTTCTCTGCACTACAGGAAGTCACTGTGTGACCACAGGCCTGTGCTCCACCCTGCAGCCCTTCTGTGAAGCCTCCCTCTGCAGCTGGGGGGTCGGGGCCAGTGACTTCCATCACGTCCTGGCCAGTGGGGACAGTCCAGCTGCCTTGCAGGCCTGGTGTGACCTGTACAGCGTGTGGCCCCTGTGTGTGTGCAAGGGAGAGGCCCAGGCCCATGGTCAGACCCCAGCTGTCCTTGGCTAAGTCACGGGCAGGGTGCTGTGGAGCCAGTGCAGGGCCCAGGAGAGGGTTTTGACCTCAGTGACTTCTGTGCCCATTTTGTCCTCTTTGCACGAAGCGCCACTCCCTGAATTTGCTCTCGTGTTGTTTTTCTGTCGGGCCTGTGGTGAGCACCTGTGCGCAGGGTCTGGGGACTGGTGCCCTCTGCTGCACAGGGCTCCTTATGCTGACTCTGGGTGCAGCATTTCCCCAGGCTTGGCCCAGCGCATCCTGGAGCTCCTCAGAGCTCCCTGCCTGTGGCATAGCATCTGTGTGCTATAGCCCTGCTTATTTATTCTGGCCCAGGGACAAGCAGTCCATTCAGCACAGTGCCAAGGATCCAAGTGTTGTTTAACTTACTTTAAAATCTTAAATTGGAGCAGGCGTGGTGGTGTATACCTGTAATCCCAGCACTTGGGAGGCTGAGGCAGGAGGATCGTTGCAAGTTTGAGACCAGCCTGGGCTACAAAGTGAGCTCAAGGCCAACCTGAACTGCATAGCGAGACCCTATCTCAATGAGACAAAAAAATCCTAATTGGGGACCGGCTCAAATTGGCCGCTTTCACACACTGTAGAACCTGTGGAGTGCCCGGGCAGCGGCCGAGGAAGACAGTGGGGAGTGGGTGGCTCCTCCAGCGCCTGGGTCCCCACACGGTGACCTCATCCTGCTGCCTTCTAGGTTCTACTTCACCAACTGGCACGGGACCAACGACAACGAGCAGTCAGTGTGGCGCCACTCCCCCAGGAAGCAGAAGAACGGCTACGAGAAGAAGAGGGTTCCTGACGCAACCCCGCTGCTCGACGCCTACTCGCTGGAGTACCTGTTCGCGCAGGTGGGACGCTGGGCACAGGGGCTGGCCCTGCCGGAGGCAACAGGTCCCCGCCAGCTCTCCAGGCCTCGCGGCTTCTCGGTCCCCCTCACAGTCCCCGTTTATCCTTGTTGCGTGGGTTCTGCCCGGCTGGGAGAGCTGTCCAGGAGGAAGGATGGGCCTCCCAGGCCACTGCGGTGGGAGCAGGGGAGGGTGAGTTCCAGAAACAAGCCAGAGGGCAGCTAGAGCCGCCCAGCCCTACCCCGCCCGATGCTGACAGACTGGATGGCAACTGCTTGCTGCTGTGCACCACGCGGCTTTTGAAGACGCTTGTCTTTGGGTCATTTTACAAATCTTTCACTTTCATTCCTTCATTCTGCAACTGGTCGCTAAAGTGCTAGTCTTTGTGGTCTTTCTGGCCACATCACAGTTGGTGTGGTCAGCAGTGTTCCCTGGGAGGCTGTCCCGCTGCTCTGCTTTCGGGTCCTGGGACAGGGCTCGGTCCTGTGCGCCTGCGCGGGCATCCTTGAGGCAGACAGCAGCAGACAACACACACGGGACTTGTGGGGTGCCTGGAAAGCCATGAGCTTTGGGGATGCAGAATATGGAGGTTTTAATTTTTATTTATTTATGTATTTAATTTGAACTCAGTACCTTGTGCTTGGCAGGCAGGCGCTGTGCCACTGAGCTACATCTCCAGCCCAGGTTTTAAGTTCTAAAGAAATGCTTTGTAATTGCAGCCCTGGTGATTGCGTTGCTGTATGGAGTCGGTGCATGGGCCCCACACACCTCCCTTCTTACTTCCTCTCCTTCCTCCCTTTGCGGGAGCTCAAGGAGGCCTGGCTCAGGTGGTGGGGTCAGGGAAGGTCTCTGTAGGGAGAGGACTCCCTAAGGATCTTGCGGGTAGGAAGGAGCCCACAGGTCTTAGAGGAGGAAAGGAATGGAGGAAGCACTGCTTCCGCGTAGCTTTTCCTCTGTCACCCTCGGGTGCGTCACACTGCGCAGCTCTCTGTGGGGAGGGGCTGAGGGCCCTGTGCACGTGGAGTAGTCCCCGCACCCGGCGGCCCTCTGCATGCCAGCAGGCGTTCCCGCACTCCACATACCTCCCAGCCGCGACAGCCAAAACTGTCCTCACACAGCGCCCACGATGCCTTCACCCCGGTGGGAAATGTCTGGTGCAGAGAGAACTGATGTTGGGGGGCCTGAGTTCCTGGGAGCCAGATGGGGCGGGTGGAAGAGGACAACAGGGTGACGAGGTGGAGGACAGGTGGGTCCCCAAGAGCCCTGCCGCACCGGCAAGGGGGCATTGGGTGCTGTCAGGAGGGTCTGGCCTTCCTCGTGTAAGCCAGTGGTGATTCTTGTTACGTATGAATGGGTTCTGCCAGGTTGGGCGTAGCCCCAGATTCTAGCTGTGGGTCCAGAGGAGCAGCCCAGCAAGAGAAGGTGCCCTTTCGGCTTAGCAAGGTGTAGTAGAGTCAGAGACAACCGAGCAGGTCTGCCATTGACCTGGCGGGGGTGGGTGGGTGGGCGGCGGCCATTGTGACTCGCCCATGGGCTGGGTGTGAGAGGTGAGGGAATTTGAGGACTCACTGATAAGTTCTGGGTTTCTGTTTGTGGATCATGTCTGCTCCGTGTGGAGCCGTGGCCTCCACAGGAAGTGTGAGGGGGGTTGCTGAGGAAGGGCTGGAAGTTAAGAGTTCTCTTTCAGAGAGGTGAGACCTGGGGTGGGGATTTGAGGTAGGAAAGTGAACAGCAAGGCTGGCGTCCAGGGGAAGCCGTGTTCCAGTGCGGTTGCCAGATATTTTTGTTTTTCTCAGGTTTTCCCTGTGCCGTGGTCGTTGTGGTTGGCCTCATCGGTACAGGTTTCCGTGGGTGCCTTTCAGTTCCTGAGGATGTGCTTTTCCACGAGTCAGCTACACCCGTGTGCAGCTCGAGTACTGACCGGCACTGTCCCCATTCCCGATGGGCCGCAGCACTGGCCATGGACAGCAGGGACATGAGTGCAGCCATGGGAAGCCCCCGTGTTGAAAAATAATTAGTCGGAAGATTGGTCTCTTTGGACTCAATTTCTCATTGTTAAGTGTCCGTATCTGCCATCTGCTCTTTGATCTTTCCAGCTGAGGGGTGAAGGCAGTGTGCCACACCTCGGGCACAGAGGTTGCGTTAGCATCTGACCTGAGGGGCTCAGGAATGAGTACCTTGAAGTAGCTGAATACCTCATGCTCCCACAGCTGCCCCGTCCAACAAAAACCCAGCCACAGCCCCTAGCGTTCGGTTCTATCGTACGTCTCAGGCCCCCTGAGGTCCCTGTGTGGCTGGCCCTGAGGACTCTGGAGAGCTGGGCAGTGGCCCCTTCTTACCCGAGAGAGACCAGAAGTCCGATTGGGCCTGAGGTGGAGCAGCGTGAGAACCGACCGCAGAGCTGTCAAGCGGCTTCCTTCAGGGAAAGCAGGCGTCTGGGGGGCAGCTCGGTCCCCGTGTGCTGTAGACCCGATGTGCAGTACCAGGGAAGGTCCCTGCTCCCTGACCCTGGCCTGCATGACACCCTCCGGACTTCACACACCTGCCACTAGATTCTCTGATTTCTCTTTCTTTCTCCTTAATCTGCATGAGGTCAGAAGCATGGTTTAGTTTATTGCTCTGTTCCTGATGCCTCGAATAACATGGCTCCTGATTTCCCACAACTACTGACCAAGAGAACTGACTGAGGGGGTTGCTGTAGGTCCTGTGGCCATTAGCACCCACCTCTGAGGGCTGCTGGGGGGCGTGCAGTGAAACAAGAAAGGAGCCGGGCTCAGGCCAGGCAGTGAGCCGGGCACAGCTGGAGTCGGCACCGACACCCTGTGGGCCCCCGGCGGCGCTGCGCTGCAGTCGCGCTCTCTGCTCTGCTCGTCGAGTCCATGCTGGCTCTTGGGACGTGTGCGCCTGTTGGTGCCGGCATGTCCCCGCAGACAGCTCGACCGGAACTGTGGAGGCAGGTGGGGAAGCAGTGTGCTGCAGAACATGGCTTCCTTCCTCTTTCTTGGGGTGGGAAGTGGGGCTCTGTCAGCTTCCTTGCTTCGCCGTGAGACCTGGCTGTCGAGTCATGTCGGAGCGATCAGGCCCAGACCAGTGCCCTGTCCCTCACTGTGGCGCCACTCGGCCTGGCTCACACTGCTTGTCGGCCTCACGTGTGTGCTGAGCCCACAGGGGCCGCCAGTGTCTGTGCGCCCACGGCGCCCGGCATAGTGTTCGGTGTGTGCTTTAGAAACGGCTCCCCAAGGCCGCCCGTGCCCAGCTTTGTCCGAGGAGCGCGTCCCTGCTGGGGAAATGACAGGGCCCCTGCGCGGCTGCACCCGCTGTGGGACCTCTGTCCTCATGCTGGACACTTGCAGCTTCACACTCTTCTCCCTTCTGCCCACAGGGACAGTACGATTTGGTGAAGTGCCTGGCTCCCATTCGGGACCCCAAGACGGAGCAGGATGGGCACGACATTGAGAACGAGTGCCTGGGCATGGCCGTCCTGGCCATCTCGCACTACGCCATGATGAGGAAGATGCAGCTGCCGGAACTGCCCAAGGACATCAGGTGCGCCGGGGCACGTTCACCCGAGCCTGCCTGGGCGGGTCCGGGCCTCGCTGGGCAGCACACTGATCACTGAGTCCTGACTCTGACCGAGAGGCCCAGAGATCTGTGAAAGTGCTGTGTCGAGAGTGCTGATAAAGTGAGGGGCCCCAGCTCTCTGCCCTGCAGGTTCCCATGTGAACACCCTCTCCATGCGGCTCTACCAGCGGCTGCCGAGTCCCCAGCCTACGAGCGCTCGGAGCTCTTTTGGTGCATTGGAGAGTGCTTAATTCTGTATTCAGGCAGTGTAATCCCACCCAACTATGAAATGCAATAAATAGTTTTTTTTCCTCACCACTGGGCTATTGAGATTGTCATAAATCTTTTGAGGCAGGGTCTGCTTTGTAGTCCAGGCTGGCTTTGAACTCACTCTGTAGCCCAGGGTGGCCTTAAGCTCTTGGTGATCCTCCTGCCTCAGCCTCCCAAATGGGGGGAGTACAGGTGTGCTGCACTGCACCTAGCTAAAGACCTCTCATTTTTAAGAGATCATAGAAGATTGCATGGTGCCCGGTAGGTAGCACACATCTCCGCCTGAGCTGATGCTTGTTCCTTCTTGCCCTGGGCCAGCAGCAGTGCGGGGACTGTTAGATACATGCAGAGGGACTGTTTCTCTTGTTTTCTGTGACCTTGACTGTGGGCCATTCCTCTGTAGTTTTCACAAGGCTGAAGTGAAAAATGTCAGCTCCTGTCTACTTCCGTCTGTTGCACTACATGAATGTACTTGTTGAGGCTGAGTCTGATGTTGTGGGACGGTTTGTGCTGCAGGATGGCCTGACCCCGGGCATTGGGCTGTCCCAGACTGGACACGGCGAGCAGACTGGTCTCTGCTTTCTGTTGTCCAGGCGCGTTCATGCTGCTTCTCAGCGTGGCAGTGTGCCCAGAGTGGCTGTCACAGAGCAGTGATGGCGAGCCTTGCAGAGCTTCCTGTGATGGGCAGCCTGTGTGGCGTGCACGCTGCGGCTCACCACCAGCGCCCTGGGCCCTCTCCCAGTAGTACCTGGGTGGGAAACTAACCTCCTCCTAACGAGTTGGTCCAGTTAGTAGCGTACTGGGGACATACGCATATGACAGACCAAGCCTGTTGTGTTTAATTAGCCTTTGTGTATTTTTCCATTTCTTGTAACAAACTGTGTGATCTTTGTGGAAAAATACCCAGTGGAAAGTTGCACCCAAGGGCCCCTCCAGTCTCACTGGTGGACACGCCCTCCTGCTGCTTCCAGAGCACATTGTGGTCAGTGCCCAGGCCTTGTGTGTCCGAGAGTACCCCTGCACACCAGAGCAATGGAACTAGCAAGCAGGGTGTGGCAGGTCACTTTCGCTGCCTGCCGGGCCCCTTGGCGATGCCTGTGGGAAGCCCATGGTGTGAACTCTGGGCGTGTCCTTCTCCACCTGCTGTCGATGGCGTCCACCTGCCCCTCCCTTCTCACATGGCAGCGTGTTCCAGGAAGACGTGTACACCTGGTTTGTCTGTAGACAGTTTCCTGCTGACCTGTCTGAACAAGAGGTCATTTTCCCTTTTTTTTTTTTTAAAGCTACAAACGATATATTCCAGAAACGTTGAATAAGTCCATCAGACAGAGGAATCTTCTCACCAGGATGCGGATAAATAATGTTTTCAAGGATTTCCTGAAGGAGTTCAACAACAAAACCATCTGTGACAGCAGCGTGTCCACACATGACCTGAAGGTGAAGTACCTGGCCACTTTGGAGACTCTGACCAAACATTACGGGGCTGAGATATTTGAGACTTCCATGTTGCGGATTTCATCAGAAAACGAGATGAACTGGTTTCAGTCGTCTGATGGCGGAAGCACCCTTCTCTGCTATGAAGTGATGGTGACCGGAAATCTCGGGATCCAGTGGCGGCAGAAGCCAAACGTAAGTGTTTGCAGGTGGTGTGTGCTGTCTCGTGGTGTGTGCTGCCTAGCCTGCTAGGATTGTGCCCGTGTGTGTCCGTCTCCCCTTGGCTGAGTTTCTTTAAGGTGGGGGCCCTGCGTTAATCATCAGTTCTTCGTCCAGGACCACGAGATCTAGGTAAGGGGAGTAAAGAGCGGCACCTGCAGTTTGTGGTCGCGTAGCAGGAACAGCTGTCGTTTACTGGCTGGCCGCTCTTTGCCGAGTGCTTCTGGGAGCAGTGTATGTTGTAGTTCATTTATTTCTAAAAAGATAACATCAAGGCCGCGCTCGTTAGCTCCCCTCGCAGATGAACTCGGAGCGGCAGGGAGAAGGCGAGCTGCTGTGGAGCGGCAGGGAGAAGGCGGGTGCTGCCAGAGTTCTGCCGGTGAGCAGAGAAGGCGAAACCTCGGGGCTGTGGGCTCCGCAGGGAGGGTTTTTCTCCCGGCTTCTCCGTGGAGGTGCTCGTTGGGTGCGGCTGTGGCGTGTGGAACCCAGGGAGACCTGGCTCCGTTGTTCTTTCCTGCCTGTGGCCAGTGGCTCTGGGTGGTTCCCTGCAGCAGGCTGTCGCACGTCGTTCACCTGTCAGATGTCACCCCTTAGCACCCGCGCTGGAGTTGGTTGTGGACCGTTGCAGATCCCAAGAGGTGTGGGCGGCCAGGTTGCGTTCCTAAAGCACCACCACGGTAGTGTGACCCGCACGCCCCTGTGCACCAGTCTCTCACGTGCCAGTGCTGTGTGAAGGGTGGTTACGCTGCGCCGCTCAGGGCGGTGACCTGGCAGAGGGTCTGTGTGAGTCTAGCGAATGCTGCTCCGGGGCCTGACTTAGGTGCGGCCTCTGGCTGGCGCCAGGTCCTTAGCAGTGGCTCGGGGGCTCAGAGGCCACCTGTCCTCACTGTGCCTCACTCACAGCGTGGTGAGGAACTAAGTGGCACTTCACAGAGAACCCAGTGTGTAATAAGTGTTGGAGAATTTGCCAGCCTGCTCTCACGATTCCTGAAGCAGTAATGTGAAATTAAATTAAACGTGAGGTTCATTTTTTCCAGCCTCAATCGCGTGCTGAAATGCAGCACCTTCCACGTTCCCAGGGAGCCTGTGTCCATGTGGCTCTGCTTCATGTGTGGGACTGGGTGCCGAGGGAAATGACCCGATGGACAAAGCACAGGCAGTGGCCGGGCGCTCGGCTAGAACTGCTGCTCGTGTCCTGCGGTGCACCCCTCAGTGTGGAGGTCACTCGGGTGTGGAGCGCGGATCCTGTCTGGATAGTCAGAACAGGACTCGGCCCTGCGCAGGTGTCCCAGGAAGGATGTCTCTCTGCCGTGTTGGAGCACTGCTGCAGGCTGGCCGTGAGCAGGCCTGACCACAGATGGGTGTCCCGGGAGAGTTCTGGGCCTAAGGCGACATGCACCGTGTGTGTCAGGGTTCAGCCAGTGTGGTCACTGAGGTCCCTTCCATGTGTGCCAACATTCCCTGCTGGGATCCGGCTTTTGCCCCTAACCCTGAGCTCCCAGCTGCTCTGAGCGCAGATGCCGCAGCCGCCGCCTCCGTGGAGCGTGGCCCTGCTGAGGTTGCGGAAGCACTGTGCTCTCCGCATCACGGGAGAGAAAGCCGGCCTACCCGTCACCTGTGTGCGTTTCTCAGGTCGTTCCTGCTGAAAAGGAGAAAAACAAACTGAAGCGGAAGAAACTGGAGAGCAAACACAAGAAAGATGAGGAGAAAAGCAAAGTCCGGGAGGAGTGGAGCAACTTCTCCTACTTCCCGGAAATCACGCACATCGTGATAAAGGAGTCTCTGGTCAGCATTAACAAGCAGGACAACAGGAAGATGGTGAGTCCGGCGGGCCATGTGGTCTGGCGCTGGGCCGAGGGTGGGTGTGGCCGAGGGTGGTCAGGCAGGTGCACTGTTCAGAGTTCCCGTCTCAGAGACCATCTGATGACTGTGACGTAAGCCCGAAGGTCCCTATCACAGCATGACTGCTGTCTGCTCTGAGTCACACTGGCCCAGTCCAGTGCCTCTCTTTGGACTTGCAGATGTGACGCTGCCTGGCCACCCAGAGACCGCCACCCAGAGACCGCCAGCAGCCGAGTTTCTTTCCCAGACGCTGTGGACGTGAGCGGAAAGGAACTTGGTGACCGTCAGGGTTTCTGCGGGCAGGGGTCATCTGGGATGGGCAGGGTCCTTGGACAGGTGGTCACACGAGTGGCAGGCCTCCTGTGGTGTCGGCGCACCCAGCTGCTCTCGGGGACAGGGCTGTTTGCGCTCACTTCCTCTTCAGTGTCACGTGGGGATGTTGTCTAGATGTGCAGGCCGCTTGGCAGGGAAGTGGGGGCCCTCCCCGAGTAAACATGTTTGTGTGTGAGGAAGTTATGGCTGACTCGGGGTGAGCACAGGTTGGTGGGCCAGGCACAAGCACAGCAAGAGGAAGTACGCTCCTGCCTGCTGCTGGGCAGACACTGGGAAGATGAGCCTGGCCGTGTGGCTCGGGGCAGTGGTCGCCCTGGCGTGTGGTGTGACTTACCTTCTGGCAGAGCCTTTTGGAAAACAACTGGGCAGCATGAGCTAAAAGCCGTGAAAACCTCTGTGTCCTCCCATTTGGTGTCCAGCAGTGTGCCTTCCAGAGGCAGGGTGAGCTGGGGCCAGCGGTCTGTCCGTCAGGTGCTCATTCCAGCAGGGTGCCTGGCTGTCGGCGCGTGAGGAGTGGGCAGCGGGGCAGGCCTCCGTGCCCGAGGAGCCCCGTGCTGCTCAGCCACACGGCCGGGTTTCTGTTGATCGGTGAGGGCGTTTCTGTAGACGGGGAAAAATCATAATATAAAACTTCACCTAGACTGGAGTTAATTTATTCAAAAAATTTGTAAGAGGTAAGCATGTGCATACACGTGCACTTAAAAAAATGATCAGGTATTAACAGCTCTTTATGGTTGGGTTGTGAATGGGATTTGTCTTCCCTGTTTTTTAAACAAAAAAGTAGACGTTAGTTTTATCAGAAGAGCGCAGTCAGAACAGAAAGAGGAGAGCAGGAGGCCCCGAGACAGCGCTTGGAGGCTGGGGACGGAGGGAGCACGCGAAGCGCTTTCATTGGCGTGTGCCAGGCGGCACCCGATGTTCTCTGTGTGTCTTCTTGATGCTGAGGCCCTGCAGCTGTGTCACCTTCTGCAAGAGGACTGCAGACGTAGGGTGCTTGCTGTGCTGCTCACAGGCGCGGAGCGCTGGGGAGAGTGGGCACTTCCGCAGTGTTGCAGCTAGAGGTAGGGCTGGGCCAGTGCTGCCCCGGTTGTGGCCTGTGCTTTTTCATGCTGCTCTGGTCCCTGGGGACTGGGGGCGACTGAGACAGGAGAAGCAGTGGACGGGAGGCGGTTGTGAGCCAGTCCCACCCTTTGCCGGGGACGCAGTTGTGTCCAGCACCGGTGGGCGCCCCCAGGGGTCAGCACTCAGGCTGGCCGCTTGGCCCACAGCCCTGCTGGAGCTGTCATGGCGGGGAGCAGAGGCCTGGGTCTCTCGAGCGCCAGCCCTATCTTCATGCAGGGCGCTTCCTGCCTGAGTGTTCACAGCACCAGCTCTCCTCTGCAGGGACTAGCGGGTGCCTCCTTTTACAGGCGGAAACAGGCATGCAGCAGTTTGGTCACCTGCCGAGGACACACGGCTCTTAGGTTAAAGCGCTCAGATTTGCCGTAGCTGGCCATTCGGACCTATAGAGACCAGGAGCACGTGTGCTACACCCGGCCGTGGGAGCCATGCTGAGTGTCCTGTGCAGACTCCTCCTTGGAGCCTGGTCTTGCCTCCTGCCCTCCCCTGTCCGCTCTGCGCAACTGCTCCCTCTCCTCCCGGAGGGAGACTGCGCCTCCCACACAGAACCACTCCCTGCCGTGGGGGACAGCAGCCACGCACCCCTTCCAGACCGGCACTCCCAGGAGACCCCAGCCCTCCCAGGAGACGGCGCTGGCCTCATCCCCTGCTCCGTGCAGCTGGGCTGGGGGAGCCAGCTGGGGCGCCCGCTCCAGGCGCCTCCCTCCACCAGGGTCAGGCCCCGCTGCTCCTGCAGGCCAGCTTCTCTGTGGGCCCTGCCTGCCGTGGGCTCCGTCAGGACAGAGGACGCAGAGCCCTGTGTTCACCTCGGATGCATCAACAGAGAGGAGCCGCTGTGGGCCACAGTCTGCGCCTCCTGAGCGTCTCGTGGCTGCACCCTTCCGTCGGTCCACCGCTGGCCGAGCCCACTGTGACCCTGTGTCTTCTCTTTCCAGGAACTGAAGCTCTCCTCCCACGAGGAGGCCTTGTCCTTCGTGTCCCTGGTGGACGGCTACTTCCGGCTCACGGCGGACGCCCACCACTACCTCTGCACTGACGTGGCTCCCCCGCTGATTGTCCACAACATCCAGAATGGCTGCCACGGGCCAATCTGGTTGGTTCTGGCCTGAAGCCTGGTCGCCTTGCCCAGGGGTGGCTGTCGTGCAGGCTGGGCGGTTGCCCGTGTTAGGTCCTTACTGGGTCCCTCTTCTCTGTCCCTGCACCCGGGCTGTGGCCAGGCCCTCCTGTCACCTGCAGCGTGGTCTTGCGCCCCTCAGCTCTTCTGCCTCCTCAGAGCCTGAGCCCCTGGCTTCTCACGCACTGACCAAGTGCTATGTGCAGTGCTACGGCCGGTGGGTCAGGAGGCCCAGGACGGGCCTCAGTGTCGCACACAGTCTGAGTCAGCCTGTCCTCGTGTGCCGGGAACAGATGGAGACTGAGGGTGGCTCAGCCTTGAGGCCATGGAGGTTGCTGCCCAGCTTGGAGGCCTCCATGCAGGGCAGCCACTCCTGAGGGGTTCCCGGGTGGCCTGGCTGCTACGCGGCCTGCCTGTGCCGGCAGGCTCCTTGCCTCCTCGCCTCCTCATGGCCGTGACTGCCTCAGGTGCAGGCAGACAGCTGCTGTGTCCCCCTTTCTGTCCTGCGCACCTGGAGCTCTGGGGTGTGGTGCTGGGCCCAGAGAAGCCCCAGGCTGATGGGATAGGGAGCCAGGCCTCCATAAAGGTACCTTCCCCCAGTGTCTAGCCGTAGCTGTCATCCAGGACCTGGCCTTGCTGCCCCTGGCCAGGAAACCCTTCCTTTAATTTTTTTAAAATTGTTTTTTGGTACCAGGAATCGAACTCAGAACCTTGCGCTTGCCAGGCAGGCGCTTATGCCACTGAGCCATATCCCCAACTAGAAACCCTTCCTGTGGGAGCTGCTCTGCCCGCTGCCTTGGGTTCAGCCTGTTGTGCCCTTGTGTGGATGTATGTGATGGTGCCTCTTGCCCCAGCCACTCCCCAGTTGCTCTGTTCTGCTTCTCTTCCCTCACATGGTCACTGTGTGTCTGCGGCCCTCCCTGCCTGCCGCTCCCCACAGGGCCACAGCGGAGCTAGCACCTGCTGGGGCCTCTGGGAGCACCTGGGGCTCAGTGGGCAGCTGCCTGTCCTGCTTGCGGTTACTTCCTGGGCAGGCAGCCTTCGAGAGGCGTCCAGCATTTGCTAGGTCTTGGAGGGGGTGGTCCTGGGTGAGGCGCAGCCTGTGTGCGGGCAGGGTGTGCCCGAGCCCCCAGTGCAGTTGGGGGGGACACAGGTCCTTGCCGTCCGTGGCTGCTGACCTGGCCAGCCTTGTCTGACCAGCACCTGAGAAGGGGTGCTCACTGGGACAGTACCTGGCCTCTGTGTACTCCATCGACTGCTGGTCCTGCGGGTGCAGAGGTCAATGAGGCGGGCGCCCCCTTTTCTGCTCCTGGCCGTGCTGGTTCATTGTGGTCCTGATCAAGCACTACTGTGAGCCGGGCCTGTTGTCCCAGGTTCCTGGGGAGACAGCACCGAGGACAAAGCCCAGCCCTGGCCCTGGGGCTCCCATCCCAGCTAAGGCCACACCCCAGAGAGCTGCAGACAGTGTCTCTGGGGACCCAGGGACATGTGGCTTGGGCGGCACTGGGCGGGAGATGCTGTCTGTCTGACTGAGCATCTGGGAGGACCCCGGGACCTGGGCAGGCGATGGGCTGGCCACGCAGTGGGAGGCGGCTCTGGGAGGTGGCTCTCGGGGCGATGTGCGTGTGGCCAGACTGTCCCCTCCTGCTTCCCCTCTGCAGCACGGAGTATGCCATCAATAAGCTGCGCCAGGAGGGCAGCGAGGAGGGGATGTACGTGCTTAGGTGGAGCTGCACCGACTTCGACAACATCCTCATGACTGTCACCTGCTTCGAGAAGTCTGAGGTCAGTGGGGACGCGCATGGCCCCAGGCGCACGCACAGGGTGGGCTGCTGTAGGGGCTGCGCTCGGCTGGGATGCTCTTGCAGAGCCTTGGTGGGGCAAGTCCTGGGCAGTCTGGTGAGAGCTCTTCTTGAGATGGGAGTCAGCAGATGAGCCGCCAGGCCTGGCCTTCTTACTTCTGTGGCCCTTCTCCTGGGGAGCTGCCGGCAGAGGGCGCCCGGGCCCAAAGGCGGGCGTCCGCGCACACCTGTGGCCTCCTTTCCTTGTTCGGAGTGGTTTCTCCAGGCTGTGTGGCAGGTTGCAGGGTGGCACTCTCCGTAGGGACAAGTGTCACCCTCGTCCGCATGGCCCGGTATCTGCCCCATGTGGCGACAGGCATTCTCACAGCTGAGCCACCCTCCCATCTTGATACAGAAGGGCTGTGTTGTGGATGTTCGGGGGGAGCTGACAGCTGAAGGTGACGGAGGGAGCCCCGAGGCTGAGGTCGTAGGGCTGCTGCCTCCCTCACTGCACCCCAGATCCCCTTGTATTCGTGCGGTTACGACAGCTCTTATTCTGGAGTAGTGGTAGTAGGCAGAGATGGTTCCGAGGTTCTCCATGCCCTGCCTCACATTCCACCGTTCACGGCCCCTGTGTGCTAAGCCGGTCCCTTCCACTCATTTGTCTGCACAGCAGGTGCTGGGTGGCCAGAAGCAGTTCAAGAACTTCCAGATCGAGGTGCGGAAGGGCCGCTACAGCCTGCATGGCTCGGACCGTGGCTTCCCCAGCCTGGAGGAGCTCATGAGCCACCTCAAGAAACAGATCCTGCGCACGGACAACATCAGTTTCGTGCTGAAGCGCTGCTGCCAGCCCAAGCCCCGGGGTGAGTGACCCAGGCTGGGTGGATGCCCTTGCCCCTTGGCGGTTGTCTTGGTTACTTTTCTGTCGTTGCTGAACAAAATACCTGACGCCAAAAATTAAGGAAGGAAAGATTTATTTAGCTCACAGTTTTTGGAGGTTTCATTCCATACTCGGCTGGCTCCAAGGCAGAGTGGCACATGGCAGAGAGCAACAGTTCATGGTGGCAGAAAACAGCAAAAGCAGCAGGAGCAGAAAGGGAGGAGCAGCAGCTGGAAGAGCAAGCTTCTTGCCCTCCCTTGCATCATATGTAAACTACCTGCCCCAGGGTGGGTGTAAAACTCACATCCATAATCCCAGCATTGGACTGTGTATGAATCAATAATAAACTATAGAAGCTTGCCCCATGACTGTGTGAGGCTTTGAGGGGGATCATCCAGACACAAACTGTAACAGTGCTTTGAGACCCAGACCAACTGGCTGATGCTGGTCAGGTTAAGGGGCCCTTCCCATGCTTCCGTGCATTTTCCTCAAGTTCTGGTGCAGGTCTGACCCAGCTCATACCTCCTCCCTCCAGTTCTGACATGATCTGTAGAAAGGCACAGGACGAACATGACCAGCGCCAGCAGGAGCTTTCTTCTTCCTACTCAAGATAAAGTGTCCTGAGAACTCCTTGTCTGGGGTCCCTTACCTGAGAAATCTTCTGGCGCAGCATCTTCTGGCGCAGCTTCTGCAGGCCAAGAACTGCGTCCAGTGTGAGAGTCAGAAACACTGAAAGTGGGTCTCTGCGTCTGGGCTTGCTTCCTTGTGCAGAGCCTGTTGCGGGAGGGTGAGGCTGCGCTGTGTGTGACAGGTGTGATGGGGGTCAGTGCACACGGATACTTCACGCTTGGAGGCAAAAGGGCTGTAGGCCAAGACCCAGAGATACGGGCTGGCGGGCTGCGAGAAGGAGGAAGAGGAGGCGGCGGTGGACGGAGGGCGGGGTGCTCTTCAGGTGCGGGTAGGGCAGCAGGACGGGGCTGGAATCCATGCTTGGGGAGCAGTGTGGGCATCTTGCAGACTCTGCTCTTTCGGAATGTGAGGGCTCACGGGAAGGGCGTGTTGGGGGCACCCGACTGAGGGCCTCGTCTCGCAGGTAAACTGAGGCCAGGGAAGGGAAGCAGCTCCCGGAAGGGTTGAATATTGAGTCTAACCAAGTGCCAGGGCCCTGAGGTGTGGGGATTCTGTGGTCTGCCCCAGCTAGATGCTCCTGGCAGGCGCCAGGTACCCTTCTGGAAAGGCCAGCGAGAAGGGTGCGGGGCTTGGGAGGGCCCTGGAGGGGCTGCCCGCGTCGCCACATTGCATGAGGAAGGCAGAGTGGGCCTCGACAGGAGGCGCGTTTTGGGTCAGCGGGGCGCGTTACTCTGACCGTGGCGAAAGAGGAAGGCCTGTGTTCTGCTGGCCAGAGAAGCCTCCTGCCGGTCCCGGGGAAGGGCCGCAGTCTCGCTCGCTTGTGCGTAAAGGTGGCCTGAGAGCTGGAAGCAGCTGCCGCT